GCTGGGGCACACAGGCCTGGAGGCTCACGGGGTTGGGACTAGCGCTCGGCTCTCCATGCTGCCTTAGTACAAGTTCTGTGCCATCTGCAAGTTGGGAAACCCAAGCTGTGGAGTTTGGTCTTTATGTTAAGGGTTGAGCAAGTCACAGGATCCCTGCTCTTTCCGCAGCCACCCAGAGGGCGTTCCCGAGGAGCCCCTGACTCCTGAGGCTGTGTCTGTGGAGCTGCGGCCGCTCATACTGTGGATGGCCAACACCACAGAGCTGCTGAGCTTCGTTCAGGAGAAGGTTCTGGAGATGGAGAAAGAGGCTGACCAGGAGGGTGAGCGCAGGCACCCCCACTTTGTCCGCCTGTTGTACCCTGAGCCTGGAGCACTCGGCTGCAGCATCCAGCATCTGTCCCGCTCTCGTCCCCAGGCCTGTCCTCAGACCCTCAGCTCTGCAATGACTTGGAACTGTGTGACGAGGCCTTGGCCCTCCTGGACGAGGTCATCATGTGTACCTTCCAGCAGTCCGTCTACTACCTCACCAAGGTGGGCCTGTTGAAATACTCTGCCAGTTGAACTCACATTGTGCCGCTCTGACATCGCTCCCCTCTCTCCTTGGGGTCACTCCATCTCACCCTAGCACTTTCCTCTGGTCACACACTACTTCCTGTTTCGGCTGACATCACTTCCTGGTTCGTTTCCTGTGCTTGTCCACAGTAGTTCGTCTCCTCTATCAATCAAGCTTACAGTGTACTGTTCAGGTGTGCGTGTGTGCATGTTTGCTGACATCATTTCCTACATCTCTGGCTTCACGTCCCCTTTCTGAACATAGGCCTTATCTTTTGTCCATGGAAGTATTCTTGTGGGGCTTGATCTCCCCTCTACCACCTTTGACCTTAATATTGCTAATTGGACTAATCAGAGTTTTGACCATGATATACCTGGTTCCTATTGTAAAATAAGAGAGAATCTCCCAAAATGTCCAATCCGTAGGCTGCAGTGGTCTTGATTGTGAACCCCTTACTTCTGAGGCTCACTTCCTGTATGTTCTGCCAAGTCTACTCTTAGGTCTTTTGTCACGGACCTCATTTCCTGACCTTGGTGTGATCATACTTTCCACTGGCCAGCTGCCACCCAACTCCTACTTCTGGGCTCTCCATTCTTTTAATCTCTTTTGGAAATTCTGATCAAATGTTTCTTTGACTGAAAAAGGCCATTTTTTTGTTTAGTGTTCTATCCTGCCTGAGCTATCTCTGTGAGAACTACAAACCCCATAATGCATGAGAGATGCACATAAAATATCTAAGCTACTTCCTGAGAACATTTCTCAGGACAGATTATTCCAGGAGACCTACCCCTGCTAGAAACCCATCTACAAAGTAGGGATTTGTTCATGGAGTCCCATGGGACTGGTGAAAGGAGAATGGACTACAATTCCCAGAAGCCCTTGGTGGCATTCCCATTGTCTTCATTGACTGTCACCCTGAAGTTCTTCGCCTTTGTGTCTCCCCAGACTCTTTATTCAACACTGCCAGCTCTCCTAGACAGTAACCCTTTCACCGCTGGGGCAGAGCTACCAGGGCCTGGTGCGGAGCTGGAGGCCATGCCGCCTGGACTCAGGCCTACCCTGGGTGTGTTCCAGGCTGCTCTAGAACTGACCAGCCAGTGTGAGCTGCACCCCGACCTCGTGTCCCAGACTTTTGGCTACTTGTTCTTTTTCTCCAATGCATCCCTTCTCAACTCGCTGATGGAACGAGGTGAGGGTTGGGCTGGGAGCAGCCAGGCACAGCTTTGGGTAGCTTCAGCTTTTGGCAGCTTGGTTTCCAGTCAAACTTTGTGAAGTAGGTCCATTCACGGCCTCTCATTCCTTCCTACACAGGTCAAGGCCGACCTTTCTATCAGTGGTCTCGAGCCGTCCAAATTAGAACCAACTTGGATCTTGTTTTGGATTGGCTGCAGGGGGCTGGGCTGGGTGACATTGCCACCGAGTTCTTCCGGAAACTCTCCATTGCTGTGAACCTACTATGTGTGCCCCGTACCTCCCTGCTCAAGGTGACTCTTAATGGCTCTATCTAAGTGACTTTTGATTCTTCAGCGCAGCTCAGCCATCCTCTCTGTTCAGTCTCTCAGGGACCCCAAGTCTTAGCCAGCCCTATATTAGACATTGTGATGGACCACTGGTGGCTACAGAAGTCAGAATCGAAAATGACTGGACAGAAATGTCTGAGTGCTAGTGCAGCTTGCTAGGAATAGTTCCCCATGGTCCTTCTCTTGGACGTGGTGAGTCAAATCTGGTTTGAGCCCGAGGAAGATGATGGTTAAGTGTTCATTGAGTATGAACTGCATAGCAGAATCTCTGGTAACAGCAGTAACAAACACCCCATTCGAAGTAAGGGCATACATCCATCTATCAACTGACGGTTTTAGATCAACTTTCGTAGATGAGGAAGCTAACCAGGTAGATCACAAAATCTTTGGGTTTTTTTGTTTTTGTTTTTAAAGATCTTATTATGTGGCTCTGGTTGACCTGGAATTTACTCTGTAGACCAGGCTGCCCTACAGCGATCCCCCTGCCTCTGTCCTCTGAGTGCTGGGATTAAAGGTGTTCACAGCCACACTGGACCTTCACTTTTTTTTAAAGATTTATCTTTATGTGTATGAGTGTTTGCCTACATGTATATATGTGTACTATGTCCTGGAATGTCAGAAGAGAAAGACAGATCCTCTGGAACTGGAGTTACAGACCACATGGGTGCTGGGAATTGAACCTGGGTCCTCTGCAAGAGCAGTCAGTGTTCTTAACTGCTGAGCCTTCATCCCAGTCCCTTAATTTCACTTCTTTATATCTTATTACTGTATTGGGGGTTGAACCCAGGGCATTGCACGTGCTACACAAACACTCTACCATAACCTACATCTCCAGACCTCTTTTCTTTTAAAATTAGAAATAGATTCACTATGTTGCCCAAACTGGCCTTGTACTTTGACTCCTCTTGCCTCGGTCTAAGAAGCTGGGGTGTCAGGCCTGATCTTCCGGGCCAGCTGGGACCATACACTTCTAACCTGGTCTTCCCCTAGGCGTCCTGGAGCAGCCTACGGACTGACTACCCCACCCTGACTCCTGCTCAACTCCACCATCTCCTTAGCCACTACCAGTTAGGTCCTGGCCGTGGAGCACCTCCAGCCTGGGACCCGCCACCTGCTGAGCGAGATGCTGTGGACACAGGTGTGCAGAAATAGGCTAACGAACTTGGAGATGTCTTCTTTTGGGGCCTAGAGTCCATGCCCCCAGCCTCTTTCTCACCCAGGACTCTGGATGAGAATCCAGCCCCTTTCATTTCCCAGAACCTAAAATTGTTCTATCCAGAAACCTTCTCAAGATTTAAAGACTAGGGCCTGGGCTTATAACACAGCAGCGGGGCTTTACTACCCTAGGATCCATTCCCAGTACATTAAGAGTTCAAGCATTTAATTATTTTTTACTTAGACTTAAGTCCCTAGCCCCTTCCCTCCACAGACCTAACCCCAACCCAGCTTACATAGCAATTGGGCTCCTCTGACCTAAGAAATCTTCCAAGATTTCCCCGCTCATCCTCAAGGTTCCAGGGCCCCAACTACACAGCCTGGTAATGGTCCTTTTTTATTTTCCTAGTCTTAACTACAACTCCCATCATGCTTTGGGACACAGAGAGCCACATTTGATGCTGGAATTTGCAGGGGTTTTTTGTTTGTTTGGTTTTTTTTTCCTTCAGGAGCTAGGCCACCTCACATCCATGCTGAATCTCTAACTCGGTCTTCTTCGCCCTCACAGGGGATATCTTTGAAAGTTTTTCCTCGCACCCTCCTCTCATCCTGCCCCTGGGCAGCTCGCGCCTGCGCCTCACGGGCCTGGTAACAGATGACTCATTGCACCGAGAACTACGCAGGCTCCGTCGCCTCCTCTGGGATCTTGAGCAGCAGGAGCTGCCAGCCAATCACCGCCACGGACCTCCGGTGGCTGCGTCGCCTTGAAAGCCAATGACAAAGGAACGCACGAAGCTTGAAACTGCAGGGGTTCTTTTGGGAGCCCGCCTGGGCGCAGACCATTCTGGGAGTTGTAGTTTTCCCCGCGTAGACCGCTGGGAGGTTGAGTTGTCTGGTTGGTAGACGAAGGGACTGTGGGAAGATGGGCTTGGGATGTGAGTGCCAAGAAGTAATAAAAGTATCTGTGGTATTGACCTTGCTTGTCAAGACTTGGGGGCTTTAGAGAAGATTTTTTTTTTTTAAGATGTCAGGGCCTGCGCTTGGAACGTTGGGTGTTAGCCGAGTTTGGGGAGATATTTCTAGCAATGGCCTCAGCTTGCCCTCTAGCACGAAATGTGACCCTGGAGCACTGAACCCTGCCACACAACTCGGAACGCAGCCCAGACCGTGCTCTGCCGAGTACCAGACCCTGTGTACTGTTGGCGGAACAGGCCATCTTCCTCCTACCCACAATCCAACTCTAGCCTTCTCCCCTAGTCCTTCCGAAACTGTCTACCTACTGTGCATACTGCTGAATTCCCACACCCAGCACCTCTTTACCCTTGGGTCCTAGTCCTCTTCCATCAGATGCAAGAATGCAGACCTCAGCCCTCCTCCTTACCCAGGGACCTAAGGCCCAGGCCTTCTCTCTGACTCCTGTCCTTTCCTTCCTTAGAACCAGGGTCTGGGCCTCATGTTTGAACTTTCCCCTCCTCTGAATTTGATTCCTACTGCTGCGTCAGGAAAAAAAAAAAAAACCAACAGGTGGCACCTGCTGGCGGGGTCTGAACGCGACCACCTGCTGCTGTTGCTCAGCCGGGTCCCTCTCCCTGCACCTGCTCCTGTCTGTCGCCTGTGGCCGCCCCACCCAACCCAACAGCCCAGGACGCGGGGGAGGAGACAGTAGGGGGACCCTCGAATGTGAGCCCGCCCTGGTCCTCCCCGCGTGTGCGCCCGCCCCTTTTCCGGGTCCTGACAGGGTTTCTGATCCAAGGCCTGCTCCCCACCCTCTCACTTGCCCCAGAAGGGGAGTCGAGGGCGGCCCTAGGCTGGTGGGCGGAGCCTGAGGTCTCCAGTCCCGTCCGGGAGACTCCACCCGCTTCAAGGCACAGCTGAGTAGCTGAGCGGAGCCCACCTGGTGAGAAGCCCCTGGGGTGGAGACAGGGACCCTCCTTATTACCCTTCATTCACCGTTTTGGTTCCCCTTTCTGCTCTGAATACCTTTTCCATGGAGCCTGGTGCATGACATTAAACCCATTCTGTTTTAGGTGTCTGTTGCAGGAACCCCTGCATTGCCCAGACACCCGTTAGCCTCTCTGATTCCCTGTTGACCCAGAATCTTGGATTTTGTCCCTAAGAGCATGGAGTTCTAGTCCTTAACCTCCTTTTCCTTCAGGATTCAGAGTCCAGACGACTGCGTCCTGCACTCTCAAAGACCCAGAGGTCCAGATTCCAATGCTCTCCTTAGGATGCAGGAGTCCGTGACTCATCCTTCCTCTACCACCAAGGTCCAGGAGCTGAGACCCCAGCCCTCTTTTGCTTCAGACTCAGGGCTCCAGGCCCCCTCTTCAGACACAGTAGTCCATGAGCAAGAACTCCCTCAAGCCCAGAACTCCGGGCCTCAGTACTCCACCTTCTGTCCTAGGGGTCCAAACCCTAGCCCTGGTCTCTCACACCATGGGTCTGGGTCCCAGCCTCCTTTCAGAGGCTCAGGGCCTAGTTGTCCTTTCCTAGACCTGGGTATGGAAGACCCTACCCCACCCAGAAGTTTGCTCAGACCTCACTTCTGTCTCGAATCAGTTATTGTCTCCCACATTTCCCCCGAGCGGCAACCTTCTGCCATCCACTCTGACCCCGCTGTCCGGCGGCCCTGCCTTCCTCTTTGTCCAGGTTTCCACCCCAGCTTTGGCAATGACCCTGGCAGCCTCCTCCCAGCGCTCCCAAATCATCCGTTCCAAGTTCCGCTCTGGTGAGAGGTTGCTTGTCTAAGAGCATGTGGGGAGGGGTCCTGAATCTAGGGCCCAGGGTCCCAGCAACACTTCCCTTGGGTGGCTGAAGGGACCCATGAAGCTCACAAGGTTATGCACGTTATGGAGTAAAGTGGGCGAGCACATGGCCCGCTAAGCCGCAGGTGGGGACACCCAAGGCTGCATGTGCTGCAAAGGACTTAAACCGACCCGAGTGGTGTGGATGCGCGGCTGGGGACCAAGAGTATCAAGCCTTGAAAGTGTTATTAGTCATGATCTGTGGCCAAACCAAACAGCTCTGAACACTCAGAGAGGGGCAGACATGTGCACCGGGTAATCTTTGCTCCAAAACAGAGGGTCAAGGCTTGAGTGAGTAGCATTCGTGTGGATGCATGCCAACGAAGAGGAAGCCAGGGCGGAAAATCACGAAAGCAGCATCTGTGCAAAGCTAGAGTCCAGGGAGATTTGAGCTTCGGGGTTAGGTTTGCCGGGTGCTGGCCGTGTGGAATGCCAGGACAACACAGAAAGGGGTGCATGGATGAAAGGAAGTGAGGTGTTGGTGGGTCAGCCTGGCAAGATGGCGACTGTACCAGGGTGGGCACAGACTTCTGAAGTGGCAGGTGGAGCCAGGAGCATGGCTACCTCCTGGTTGCAGGCTGGCTGGCTTACAGCCTCAGGAGTGGCTCTGACCCAAGATGCTTTGCTGGCAGGAGCAAGCAAGAGGCCCTGGGAAGGGAGAGGGAACAGGCTGCCCGCCCACCCGCCCTGAGAGTGTGAAGGGGCTGGGTACGTGTGTCCAGCCAACAACTGTAGCTCCCACCCATCAGCCAAGCCAGGCTCTGGACACTCCCTTCCTGCCTTCCTTGTCCCACCTCTCGTTTCCTTCCACACAGTCCTGCAGCTTCGGATCCACAGACGGAATCAAGACTGTAGTAAGTGGGGGCCCCCAAAGGGAAGGGATGGTGGCCTCAGTACCCAAGGACCACGCCTGCCCCCAAGCAGTGAAATCCCAGTCTGTCACTTTCAGAGAACTCTGAAGTCAGCTGGGCCACCCCACCCATTGAGTTCTCCCCAGTTTTCCCATCCCAAATGCCCTAATCTTTCTTGGTGGTGTTAGGTATCCCAGCCACTCCCACACTCAATCATCTGAATATAGTTTTTTGGCTTGTTCATTTCCCTGGAATCACGGGGTACAGGCATCACCTGGTTCTGTCCCAGGAACACACTTCTAGATCGCTGTGATCCAAAGCAAACAGACTTCCTGCTGAGGACAAAACTCTCTTCCCTTCTCGAAAATGTGGAAATCTGGGTCCTCAGGCGTCCAGGAACCCAGCTGGACAACTTGGGCTAGGCTTCTTGCTCTAGGCTGGCCCTCCTTTCCCGTAGCCCCTCTTCATCCTAACTGGCCTGCCGTCTGCTGGTCCAGTCAGGGTCCTCCACTATCTTTTCAGCCTCTGATTCAGATCCATGGATCTCAGCCTCAGGCCCAGCTCTGGCTCCAGCTTTGCCCCCTGCTCCTGCTTCTTTCCTTGTCAGCCCTGGCGTCTTGTCCCCTGAACCAGCATATTGTCCTTGGAGATCTCCAAAGAAGGTGAGTTTGGACAGTGGAGGGCGAGTGCCCATGAGAGTCTAGCCAGGGCGAGTGCCCACGACAGTGTAGCCGTGATTCTCCTAGGGCGAGTGCCCACGACAGTGTAGCCGTGATTCTCCTAGGGCGAGTGCCCGCGACAGTCTAGCCGTGATTCTCCTGGGTGCGCCACTGTCTTTGGGGCGTGGCCAAGCTGACACTACACATTTCAGGACCTAGCTGAAGCATCATCCCTGCTTTTCTCTGTTTTGGGGACAAGCACTCTTCACCCTTCCCCGGCCTTCCTGATGCTGGGATGACAGGGATGGTGGGCCACCAAACCACCAAACCTGGCCTGACTTGCTCTTTCAGGAATCTTCCAGGAACTCCCAACACTGGAAGGAGCCCAAGGTCAGGGGGAATTTGACATATCACCTGTACATGCCTCCAGAACGGAGACAAGGGCCTAGGGAAGATCTCCAAGCAGAGGGCTCAACCCTGGGACCCCCAGGGCCATCACTGTGGGAGGAGAAAAACTCACAGAGGTCACACCCTCGGTAGGACTTTCAGTTTTCTTCTCCAGGGGCCCAGAAACTCAGACCCCATCCTCCTCCCTCAAACCCAGAGTGCAAGGGAGAGGAGCCTGCCCTGAAACCCTCTCCCCCTGAGCCCCCAGCTGTGCAAGCTCCCAGCCCTGCTCTGGAGACATCCCGGGGCACAGCTCCCACACCCACAAACCCAGCCCTGTGTTTGCTCCACAGGAGACCCAGAATTCCTCATTTTCCTGCAGCCTCCGAAGCCCCAGGTTTTAAGGTCCCTAAATACATTTTCCATCTGCCCTAACCTTTCCTCACCCTCTCACGCCGGTCGCTAGGATGAAGCCCTCCTCACCAGGAAACTCCAGGCCCTCACCCCCTTCACACAAGCTGGAACTTCAGACCCTTAAATTGGAAGAGCTGACGGTGGGTTTAGTATGCAGTGTCCCAGGGTCCCAGTGTCATCTCTTCCTCAGGGCTGGACCCAGACCTCACAGACCCATGGCCCGTGCCGTTGGGCGGTCGGTCAGGATTCTGGCTCCTCTTAGTTTCCCTGTAATTGTTCCCTAGAGCCCGCCCAGCACCTCCTCTCCCTGTCCCCGCCCCTTAGGTCTCAGAGCTTCGGCAGCAGCTGCGCCTACGGGGACTCCCAGTCTCCGGGACCAAGTCGACGCTCCTGGAGCGCATGCGCGGTGGCGCCCCGCCCAGGGAACGGCAGAAGCCCCGGCGTGACGACCAAGAGGCTGCGGCTCCCTGGCCGCGCCTTAGGCCTAAGGCTCTGGGACGTACCCGGCGGCCCGGCACGGTGAGGGCGGGGCTGTGTGCGCACCAATCAAGAGAAGAGAAAGAGGAATAGGGCGAGACCTTGGAAAAGAGCAGCTAATGACGTGTTGGCAAGGAGGCGTGACTTACACTTGGGGGCGGGTCTTTTGGGTTTTTTTTTGTTTGTTTGTTTTTGTTTTTTGCTTTTCTAGACAGGGTTTCTCTATGTAGCCCTGGCTGTCCTGGAACTCAATCGAACTCACAGAGATCCATCTGCCTCTGCCCCCGAGCGTGTGTGCCACCACCTCGCGGCTGGGGACGGAATCTAACAAGCGAGCCGCTACGTTTGGGAGCGTGGCCAACCACTGGTTGCCCGGAGGATGTAGTTAGAACCTGGTGGGCGTGGTTTAAGGGAGAGAAGTCACTGAAAGGATTGGAGCGGAGCCTGAAAGCCGCTTTAGGGAGTAAGAGTGTTTGCTGCCAAGCTTGACTTCTTGAATTCTATCCCCGAGACCCATAAGGTGGGAGCCATGAACCAGCTCTGAAAGTTGCCCACTGATTGTACACATACATGCACACACACATAAAAATGTTAAAAAAATACAAAGTATTGGGGTGAAATTAAGGAAGGATTGATTGTGTTAGGGCGGGGTGGGGGGGGGCGGGCAGAGCCACGCCCGATGTACCGGATTTAGGAAACTCCCACCTTTCCTGGTTCTAGGTAAAGACAAGTGCAACGACTCGTAGGCTGCAGTTTTCTGAAGTTGCGGATCCCCTGGGGGCTGCTCCAGCTCCGGCTCCCGCGCCGGTTCAGGCTCCCGCTCCAGCTTCGGCTCCGGCTCTTCCAACTCCCTTTCCAACAACTCCAGCCAGCCTGACTCTGGAGGAGGAGCTGCAGGAAGCGATCCATAGGGCTCAGGTGGAAGGGGGATGCGAGGCTGGGGCGTGGCGTGCTCAGGGACTGGGCTGTGTACCTAAGCAGGACCCAGGGTCACAGAGCGTGTGCTCATCCACAGCTGCTTCCGAATCGGGACATCGATGACATCCTGGAAGACCAAGTGGAGCCAGATGGTAGGAGCAGAGCTCCCGAATTTAGGGGAGGAGCTGAACTTGGGAACTCCTGGGCCCAAGGGAGGAGTGGGCTGGGAACAGTGCCCGCCTAAACTCACCCTCCTCTTGCAGACCTGCTGCCTCCCATCCCCTTGGACTTCCCGGGCTCGTTTGACGTGCTGTCTCCCTCCCCGGACTCAGATGGCTTCTCTTCCGTTTTCTCTTCTTCACTCCCATCCCCCACAAGCTCCCTGTCCCCTTCTCCAAAGGCACTTACAGATTCCTTGGACTGGCTAGAGGCCTTGAGTGGCGGTCCACCGCTGGACTCTGGGCCTCCAGGGCCCAGCATCTTCTCTGCGGACTTATCTGACCCCAGTGGCACTCGTCTTTGGGAACTGCTTCCAGATGCATAAGAAAGACCCTGGGGTTTCCCAGGAGAGGTCATCTGCCCCCACAAAGACCCTCCAACTACAGAGCACTCAAGACTTAAAATGCCCTTATCTCCTCCTGGCCCACTGCTGCTGATTTGTCAAATGCCTGGACCTGCCTACCTGGCCTCTGTGTGACACCCCACCCACCCCCCCACCCCCGTCTGTGCAGTTAAGGGTGGGAATTCCTTTGCTACTGCCCAGTGCAAACAAGCTTCCTGCCTCCTTCAGAGCCCTGCAGGGTGTGTGTGCCACTTCCTCCAGATGCTGGTGGCTGCCTGTCATCTGGGGATCTGAAAGTTTGTGCTGTTTGGGTTCAGGAAAGGATGGGGCAGGGGAGTAGAAGAAGGCAGACCCCTGAGTTCTAGATAGAGGTGAGGGAATCAGAATCTCCTAGTGGGAGGTGACAGTGACCTCCCTATGATCTTGAACCCATGAGTGTTGTGACTATATCTAGCTTTCTTGGGTTTTTTTTTTTTTTTTTTTTTTTTTTTTTTTTTTTTTTGAGAGAAAGTCTTGCTATGGTAGTACAGACTGGCCTCTAACTTGTGACAATCCTCCTGCTTCAACCTTCTGATTAGAGATGTGAGCCACCATACCCAGCTCTCATGGTTTGTTGAAGGGCTTCCAGGAGCCAGGTGGGGAGAGGAATGGCCAAAGAGGAGCTAGAATGTGACCTCAGGTTCACCTCAGCCCTGAGGACGTCTGCCTGGTGAATTAAACTGTGGGTCTCCTTGAGTTTAAGCTGGTGAGACTGAGCCTTTGCTTCTGTGTTTGGGCTTATTAACAACCCCTAACCTAACAACAGGTGGCTATGGTGCACTGGGCTCTGCGGGGCAGTTACTCAGCTCCACAAGGGGTTAGAGAGGAATGTTGCCATCCCGATGTCCAGATGGGTGAAGACATTCAATATGGCTCATTCAGACATGTTGGCACAGTGGTGGAGATGGGGAGAGGGCTGAGCCCAGCTGGATGTCTGAACCCTTCTAGTTCTCCACAAGGCCTCAGCGTTCTTCCCCACATGCTCTCTCAGCTGGGCCCCTAGACTTCCTGTGTGGCAGCCCAGGACTTCCAAGAACAAATGTTCAGCTTGGAGTTCAGGAGTTAGCACTCAGGGAAATTGACATGAAGAGCTGAGGCAGGAGAATCAGAAGTCGAAGATCAGAGTTCAACTATAGAGAGTTCAAGACCAGCCTAGGCTACATGAGACCCTGTGACAGAGGGGGGGGGG